AGTCCACTCGCCTCGGCCTCCCAAAGTGCTGGGATTACAGACTGACCCACCGAGCCAGGCCAACTCATAGTTTTATAACCTGCATTTTCATAATGTCTTGTTATTTTCTTAGGTCATTAAATTTTCTTTCACATGATCATATTTGAATGGTGATTGTGGACACATGTGCTGTGACTCATTGTACCCAGCAGTATTTGGGCATGTGTAGGTGGTTTAATCATATTCAGTGTACCTTAGAATTGAGTGGTCCCTGTCAGGTGTTTCTGTTCTGTGCTGTGATGGTCCCTTCAGAGAAGAAGACTCAGCGGTTGTCTTTGGAACCAACTTGGGTGCCAGCGTTCTCTGGCTGGGGCATTTGTTCTTGGACTGTTCAAGGCTGTTGCTCTTCCTTGTCACCACCTCTTGATTCTCAGATGCTGTGGCAAGTAGAGGCAGCAACCAGCAGGGTGGTGTCTCACTAGCCCTGGGTCAGCATTTAGCTGTGGATCTGGGGGAGGTGGAGAGTCATGTCGTCTCACTTTGTGTCCCCCAGCCCCACCACCCCACTGCCCGAGTTCTGCTGGGTTCCCAAGGACACAACCTAACCTTAACCTCTGTCTTCTTCTTTCAAAATATAGGCCTTTCCTTCTGATGAAAAGAGAAAGGAAGAATGGACTACAGTCACCAGACTTCCCTAGTCCCATGTGGACAAGATAAATATATTTCCAAGTAAGACATTTTGCTATGGTGCTGTGTCTCCAGTGGCAAGTCTGTTGGTTGGGTCTTGTGGGTGGGTGACAGCGACTGGCAGAGGGACCCTCCCTATTCATCAGACAACCAGGACTCCTGTGTATGAGAAGGACCCAAGCAACTGAACTTGAACGGGTGAGAGCATCAAGGCTTCTGCTGTAGATAAAAACATGCCCCCAGAGCCTGGCCAGGAGGGTGAAGTAAAGGAAGAATCAAGACTTGGTACCTTTGGGGGCTTGAAAGAGTTGGTATCCTGGAAGGCTTCCAGAAGGAGGAGTTGGCTGGTGGCTGTTTGCTGTGGTGTGAATGTTTTTGTACCTCCCAAATTCATATGTTGGAACCTAACCCCCAAGGTGCTGGTATTAAGAAGGGGGGCTTTTGGGAGGTGATGAGGTGTGAGTTCCCTCATAAAAGAGGTGGAGGGGGCTTGTTGGCCCTTTCACCATAGGAGGACACAGTGAGATGGCATTGTTGTGAGAACAGGGCTGTTACCAGACACTGAATCTACTTTGATCTTGGACTTTTCAGTCACCAGATCTGAGAAATAAATTTCTGTTGTTTAAAAACCAACCAGTTTATGGTATGAGAGCCTGTATGGATGGAGACACTGCTCAGTGTCCCATCTGTGGTGTTCCTCATGGAGTTATGGCTGGGGTAGTGTGTCCCTGGGCTGCAGTGGTCCTGGCTGAAATCGGCACAGGTGCCCTCTGAATAGAGGGGGACGTTTCATTGCTTTCTACGCCCTAGGGTCTCTTGAACTCTGACTTTTTGCTAATGTATCAGGGGCTGAGCCAAAATGGACTCTTTGGGATTGCAAGATTGAGGACACCTATAAAAATAATGCAGCAGAGGAATTTTACCTACTGGAAGATATCTTAATTATTTAATTTATCTGAGACTACATTATCTTCAATTGTCAGACACACTTGGTCACACACAGACATGTGTTGTGTGAGATTTGAGTCACTCTCATCTCTGTATTGAAAGACTTCCCCAAGGACTTTTACTGACCAGTCATTTTGAACTCCAGATTCAGACCTGTGTGTTCATAAGTACCAAACGGCTTTTTGTTTTCAGTTATTTGGAATCACATTTTTCACTAATTCATTTCAGCTTGCATCGAATTACTCCGATTTATCTAGATTTAACTTGTCAGGAGTTTCTTGGAATTTCAGCAGGTTTTGACTCCTGATGTGGTCCCAGATTTCGCCACTGAATAGCTGTGTTCCCAGGGCCTGAACGCTGGCCTCTTGCCTGAGAACAGACAGAAGCACATGGCCGCCTCTGCCTCTCTCCGCTCTCTTCTTCATGGAGGCAAGGATATGTGCTTCTAGATAAGACTTGGTGTATTCTCAGGGTTGATGAGGGGTGTCCCTAATCACAGAGGAGACTCTGGCCATGTTTCGTAGAACTGTGCTTCTAGGGTGCTCACCTGGAAACCAGGATTTGGAAGCTAAGCAGACCTGAGACCAGGCTTCAGAAGGGGAGTTTCTTAAGTTTGTGTGTTTTGTTTTGTTTTGTTTTGTTGAGTAGGAATCTCACTCTGTCACCCAGACTGCAGTGCAGTGACACGCTCCCAGCCACCGCAGCCTCTACCTGCTGGGCTCTGGCGATCCTTCCGCCTCAGCCTTCCAGTAGCCAGAACTACAGGCGTGCGTTACCATGCCCAGCTACTTTTTGATTTATTGTAGAGACAGGGTCTCGCCAAGTTGCCCAGGTGGGTCTCAAACCCACAGGCTCAGACAATCCACTCGTCTCAGCCTCCCAAAGTGCTAGGGTTACAGGTTGAGCCACCGAGCCCAGCCAGTTTGTGTGTTTTTAATAGTGGGTAAGTTAATTATGACTTCATGAGCAGTGAGTTTGAAACAAGGACTTAGAAATTCTCCCTTCCCAATTACTGTCTTAGCTTGTGTATTTTATATTTTATATTTAGGAACAGAGTCTTGTTCTGTCACCAGGCTGGAGTACAGTGGCACAGCCATAGCTTACTGCAGCCTCCAACTCCTGGGCAATTGATCCTCCCATCTCAGTCCCTCAAGTAGCTGGGACTACAGGCACGTGCCACCATGCCTGGCTAATTTTTTAAAATTTTTTTGTAGAGATGTGGTTTTACGATGTTGCTCAGGCTAAATCTTGGACTCCAGGCCTCAAGTGATCCTACCACCTTGTCCTCCCAAGGTGCTGAGGATTACAGGTGTGAACCACCATCCCCAGCCAGATTTAAAAAAAAAAAATTGAAAGAATATTGCCGGGGCCCAGAAACCTTCTTATGCCTATTTCTTGTGAGTATTACCTAAGGTGAACCACTGGTCCTGAGTTGTATCTTTCCATTTTGATTGATATATCAATGTGTCTGTCACTGCCCTTATTCATCCATTCCACTGCTGATGGGAGTCTGTAAGTTTTAAAAGACATTATAAGGTCATGTCTATGGAGCATAAGTCAGTGTGGCCCAGACCTGTCCCTTTTAACCATCTGAAAAGCCTAGAAGTTTCTCTGAGTCTTGAGAAGGGCTGGAGCAATTGTCCTCTCTTCACTCTCAGCGTGCATGAGGGAGCAAGGCTGTGGAGAGGCAGGAGAAAGCCTGCCTGTGGGCTTTGAAGTGTGTTTGTCCCTATATATCTGTGGGTTTTTGCCAGAGACCAGCTTCAGCCAGGTTCAGGGTACCCCAAAGGTGGAGACGGCGTCGGTGATTGGGGGGAAGAAGAGAGAAAGGAAGAGAGAAAGAAAGAGAGAGAGAAAGAGACTGGACTCCGGTCTAGTGAAGAAGCGATGTGTGTTATTGGGAATTACAACGGGTCTTTTATACACAAAGTTAGATGTGGGAGGGG